ATTCCGACCACCCTGCTTTAGTCCATATAGTGGGCGTAATAGCTTCGCTACTTTTCCATCTTTGTTTTCATACAATGGCGGTAATTTCATGTACAGATCCTCATCCAGTTTCCCATTCAGGTAAGCATACTTTACATCGATGTGCCGGGTCACCCAGCCAAAAATGGTTGCCATCGCTAACAATATTCTAACAATAGCGAACTTGGCCACAGGAGCATATGTCTCTTCATAATCTTCACCTTTCCTTTGAGTGAAACCCTGTGCAACCAATCTTGCTCGGTAGCGAGCAATTCTACCATCGGCGTCAGTTTTTATTTTAAAAACCCATTTGCATCCAATGCAATTCTTACCCGGTGGTAGGTCAATTTCTGTCCACGTTTTATGCTTGACCAAATTATCTATTTCTTCTTGTATAGCTTTCCTCCATTCGCTGGAGTGCGGCGAGGCGAGTGCTTCATCGAGATTCTTAGGTTCAATTATTTCTGTAAAATTAATTTCTACATTTTCCTTCGGTTTGCCCTTGCGTCCATAAGGATTCGGCGGAGGCCTCTTTCTTGGCCGTCCAACACCTCTTGTTCCTCCTACACTCTGGTGAGGCTCTCCCACTATCTTCTTATCTTCTTCTTCTGTATCTTCCGTGTTTGCCGGATCTACATGTGGAAACTCATCTTCTTCTATTTGGTCTGTGTCCATCTGGGGTGGTTGCTCTTCACTTGACTCTTCTTCTCTAACTTCAGACTTACAGCTTTCGGCGCTTGTACTAAATTTCAAGCTTGGTATTTCTGTCCACACCTCTTGATTACCGTAGATACAGTCATACCCGATTTTATTCTCGTCGAATCGCACGTGTTTTGTAAGAATGATATCTTGTTTCTTTGGGTTCCACAACCTGTAACCCCTAGTTTGGCTCGCGTATCCGACAAATATGCATTCTTGGGCTTTCGCATCCAACTTCTTTCTTCCTTGAGTAGCTAGATGAGCGTATGCTAGGCAACCGAAAACTTTCAAATGTTTCACGCTCGGTGCACGCCCTATCCAAATTCCTTCGGGGACTCCATCTTTCACACTTGTATGCATTACTCTATTTCTAACGTACGCGGCAGTGTTTACAGCTTCTCCCCAGAATTTCGGAGGAAGCTTCGCCGACATCATCATCGATCTAGCCAGATCCATCAACGTGCGGTTGGCCCGCTCAGCTACGCCATTCATCTGCGGAGTCTCGACGCAGCTCCTTTCGTGCTTAATTCCGAGCTCTTCAAAGAAATTTCTTAATTCTTTGTTGCAATATTCAAGTCCGTTGTCCGTACGGAAACGCTTAACTTTAACGTCCTTTTCGCGTTCGACCCTTTTGATAAATCGTTTGATACAGTCGACGACTTCACTCTTTGACTTCAGGAAACACACCTCTATTTTTCGCGAATAATCATCTATTAGCGTCATAAAATATACAGAACCGCCTATAGACTTCACCGGTAATGGCCCGCACACATCTGAGTGGATTAACTCTAGGAGTTTAGTTGACTGTTTACCTTGCAGCCTTTTGCACGGTGCTTTACTGGATTTTCCTGCGCAACAACCTGAACACGTTCCAGACTCCAATTTGGCGTCTTCAAGGCCTCGAACGAAGTCCTTTTTAGCAAGTGCTTGGATACTTTGGCTACTCACATGGCCAAATCTTTTATGCCAGATATCTAGATTTTGCACAACCGTAGAGTGCAACTTGATTACTCTGTTGTTCTCTGGATTTACCACATCAGCTCGTACGATGTAAAGATTTTCTTCCCTATGCGCTTCGATAATCACGTTTCCAGATTCCTTGTCTTTTATTCTTACTTTGCCATTATCGAAAATAATACATTTGGCCTTCTTTTCCACTTGGGCAATTGATATTAAATTTCTTCTACACCTAGGAACATAATATACATCTTTTAAAACTATTTCACAAGTGTAGTTACCCACGCAAGATTTCAAGACCACGTCGCCGATTCCCTCAGCCATCAGCGTATTCTCGTTATTATCTGTGTTTGAATCCGCTGTGCCAATTGGCTCTGAGGAGGTTTTAAAATCCCTGAACCAGCTCTTATGTCTGCACACGTGGTGCGTCGCAGCACTGTCTGCAAGCCAGGCATCATTTACAGTCACATGTTGTAGGGACATCAAACATGCATATGAGTTCTTCTTATTGCTCCTGAACTCCTTTTTCTGTGTCCTGTCTTTACTGCGACAGTATCTTGCGAAATGCCCTGCCTTGCCACACTTAAAACAAGTTTTCTGCTTGTCTGGTACTTGCTTGTCTGCTGCGTGCTTGTCTGGTACTTGTTTGTTGCCCTTCTTTACTTGGTACGCAACCACCTCCTGTGATTGTTCTTGATTCTCATTTTTATCCAAGCGTCGTTCATACTCCATCAGCAGTGCCTTCTTTATTTCTGCTGAAGTAAACTTTGTATCATCTAAATTGGTTAATGACATTGTTAATGCATCATATGAATCTGGAAGCCCACTGAGCATTGCATAAGCTAGGTCTTCATCTTTAACCTCTGAACCTGCTGCGTTCAAGTAGTCACAAGTCTCTTTCATTCTGGAGAGGTACGATGCCATAGTTTCATTTTCTTTAAGCCGTAGCCTGACGAATTGTCTCCTTAGTTGCATGATTCTTTGTCTTGATTTTGGCTCATATACCTGTTCGAGCACTTTCCAAGCATCCATGGCTGTTTCACCGTCCACAATATGCACCTGTTGGTCTGACTCAATTGATAGAGCTATTGTGGATAAGGCCTTTGCGCTATTTGTGAGAAAAACTTGCCTTTCTACGTCTGCGGCATCTTCCGGCAACTTCGCCGTTCCATCAACGTATTGCCACAATTCTCTTTGTATTAACAGCATTTTTATGGAAAATTTCCAGGTTCTGTAATTCTCGCCATTCAGCCTGTCTATTCTATCTATCACACTTGCACTGGCCATTGTAATGCTGCTTTTCTAGAGAATATCACTTTCTACGCAGTTAGCGTGCTAAAACGTAGCACAGCAGAAAACACCCTGGGCCCATAACCCTGATAAAATCTTAATATATTTAAAATAAACACAAATGAATACAAGGAATGAAAAGGTCAAAAATAATACATAACTAACTTATAATAGGATAATGACATAAAAAAAATAACTTCGCTTTTCTGGCGCTTCTATCATGATGCCCTTTTTCTATAACATGGCAGACCACACTACTAACAGACGCAAAAGTAACTAGGCCCACAGCCGGCCCCAACAGAGACCGCCAACAGCAGCACCGTTCGGCGTCCCGCCAGATTCAAAGGCGCAACTAAATCAAGTGAAGATGGCTGAAGCGCAACATCCATCATGACTAACACTAGTTTCGAAAATAATAGACATAGAGCGAGGGATATAGGAGAGATTATCGATGCTGATGTAAACGGACCGCATAAGACAGTAGGTAACAAGGGAGAAAAATATTTCTTAGTTTTAATCGATGATTTTAGTAAAGCGAGAAAAGTTTATCCTATTAAACAGAAAAGTGAAGTTCATGAGTGTATAGTAACCTACGTTAATCAATTAGAAAATTTTACTGGCAAGAAAATTAAGAGAATTAGATGTGATAACGGGAGAGAATTTTTGAATAGGGATATTTATAACTTTGCAAAAGAAAAAGGAATTTACATCGAGCCATGCTCTCCGTATGTTCACGAACTGAACGGAACTGCCGAGCGCTACAATAGATCGGTAATGGAAACCGCGAGATGTTTATTAACACATACAAAAATACACAATAGATTTTGGCCAGAGATAGTAAAAACAGCAGTGTATCTTAAAAATAGAACGTTAGCTAATACATTGGATAAAAGGACTCCATATGAAATTATAATGGGAAGAAAGCCCAATATCAGCAACTTGAAATTATATGGAAGCAGAGTTTTTGTAAGAGTCCCTGAGATTAAGAGAAATAGCAAATGGGATAGAAAGGCGGATTTGGGAGTACTAGTTGGCTATGAAGAAATAGGATATAGGGTTTTGATCAATAATAAAGTAATTGTAGCAAAACATGTTGATATTGTAAAGAAAAGTGTAAAGCTAGTGGGATTTAAAGACAACGATGAAACTAGTGGACACGATTTAATAGAAAATGAAATTGAAAAGAATGGAGTTAACCAAAAGGAGACTATTGGAAATATCGAACAGGAGTTTAATCAAAATGAAACTATACCTAGACGATCAGAGAGAAAAAGAGGTCTGGTTAATAGATACGGAGATCCAATAACCAACTGTATTTATGTAAATTATGTAAACATAGATAGCCCGGGAAGTTATAATGAAGCGATAAGTAGTAGGGACAGTGAAAATTGAATGGATGCAATGAATAAAGAGATTGAATGTTTAAATAAAAATAATACGTGGAAGCTTGTAGAAAAACCAAAAATGAAGTTGATCGCCTCTTTATCGCTTATCCGAAGATTCGCTTCCGAGTGTCGATCTGGCTTCTATCGCCTCGCGGCCCGGTATATATATGCTCGCGAGGCCGGTCGCCTCGCGAGTTCGTGGTGCGCGCGGTCGCCACCTGTCGGCGGCGCCGGTACTAGCTCGCGCTGGCGGGACCCGCGGTTTCGCGGCCTCGTACTCCTTACAGACTGGTAAGTCGCAAGAGAATGATATTCGTAACATTTCATACTGCGCAGTAGAAGCTGGTGGTTCAATTTTAGTGGTATTTGTAGTATTATTTTGATTGAAACAGAATATTTGAAGGCACAGATTGGGACATCTCGGAAAAAGTTTACAGAGTCCGCATTTATATAAAATGTATGTAAGGAGAAGAGTTCCCAGTCCTACTCCGACATAACTCATTATATTCCAAGCATTTTCCATTAGACTAGTTATTCTGCGTGAGCTTTTGATCTGGTATAATTTTGTATCAAAATCATCCGTATGAGGTTTTTATGAAATCGTTTTCAATTTTGATTGGTAGGTGAGGGTGCTCTTTAGACAAAATTTTGCTATCTTCCATCGTAAGATTTAACTATGTATTTTATTCGCGTTTCGTACGTGTATTCTCGGTCAACCTTTCCAATTTTAATCATACTGTTTGTACTGGTTAATATACAGGATTCGTCAGATTCTACAATATGTGCCTTTCTAATAGTAATGGTCGAATGTTCTTTACAAAGTGTTTGGATCTCAACTTCGCCTCTGGGAATCACGATGAATTTGCCGCTTTCTAATTCAATATAGGTTAATTCTTCACTCATATAATACGTGCCTGTTGGACAAATTTTTAAAATATCAGGTGCCAACTGCAATATTTCTGATTCGCATTTTTTACTGGAGCTTATTGGGTGACTAGCCGATTTTTGCTTACAAATTCGTAGTTTGTTATATCGTTTACATTTTTCAATTTCCCTTTGGGAGCTGAGAATTATTTGCGAGTTGGTTTCGAGAGCAGTGTTGTGAGGTATGACAGGTATTGTGTATATAATATTATCGCGAGTTGTTGGGATAGGATATAATCGTTTAATTTCCCATTCTTGCTCATCAATCAAAGGAATTTCGAAGACGTATGCTATTTTATGGTTTACTATTGAGATAGTGAAACTACTAATACTGATAAGAATTTGATAATTCTCTTCTTTCAAATCTATCGAATACCTTTTGAATTCTGAACGTTGTAGCGCCTCTAGTCTTTGCACAAATTCCTTTGGTTTTACAATAGATGGATTAACTATTCCGGATCGTCCCAATGTCATTGCGTCCATGAAATTTCTGACGTCATTCTCGATTTCAGTGATTAATACGGATATAGCTATCAATTGCGAGTTCATATAGATATTACGTGAGTTATTGTTGATTTTGTCAATTGCACTGTGGTATAACACAAAATTTTCTCGGTGTAATTTAAACATGGTATCGGAATTAGCTTCTTTCAATAAAGTTTTAATTATATGCGTTTGATTTAAAATCGCGTTTGACATCACATTTTGTTGTTCGAACAACTTATCCATATTTTGATTAATGAGCTTCAAATCGTCTTCATCTAATGTGCCGAATAAATTTTTAGATACCGAACCGACAAAATTTAATAATCCACGCTTGTTTCTAATACCTAGGAATATCTTAAGCCTAATATTTTCTTCTTTTACCTTTGATAACTTATGTTCTAACATTAATATTTCCTTAGCTTCTAAACATACATCACTACAAGCTTTTTTAGTAACATTTAACATGTATTCTACTTCGGATATTCGTAACGTGGGTTCGTTACAATCTGCCATGACGATAAGTTTCCAGTGAGTGTAAAACAAGTGCGCTTTACCTTGTTTTTCAATGAAAACAGATGCATCATTTAGCGGGGTGAATTTGATTTCGCCCGTGGTTATGCCAATCCCAGAGATAAGTAATAACAGAATCATCCTGAAATGTAGCATGGTTTTAGTCGATTACCATGAACTCTTTTACTTTTATCACTTCGTAATTGAATTTCGTACGTGGGAGGGGAACAACTAAGGATAGGATACGGCCCAGTCCATTCGGGATCAAGTTTGTTACGTTTAGTCTCGTTGTGTAAGTACACCTTGTCTCCAGTTTTGAATATACTCTGAATCTTTATTATATTTTTATTTTGGTAATCCGTATATTTCTGTCTTGCTTTTTCTAAATTAATCCTCGCTCTAACCGTATAGTAATTATATCTGTCTTTCCACAACTTAATCAAATCATCACGTTTTAATGCTGGGGTATTCGCTATTATTGATAGTAGGTTAGCCTTATGTCCAAATGTTAACTCAAAAGGCGTATATCCGGTTGCTTCATGTACCGCGGAGTTATATGCCATACAAATAATGTTAAGATTTTCATCCCACTCGTTTCGTTTGTCACGTATCGAAGTTCGTATAAGGTCCCGTACCGTAGCATGTGTTTGCTCTAAGCTTCCGTTAGTCTGCGGGTGAAACGCAGTTGTCCGAATGTGTTTAATTTTGAATGTATCCTCGAAATTTCTCATTAGTTCACATATAAAATTCGTTAGAATATGTTTTGGGGAACCGAATATATAAATGTAATGTCACAAAAGTTTCTCGATAATTGTTTCCGCGTTACTTCGTTCCAATGGTATTAAAATCAAATATTTGCTAAAGGTATCTAAGACTGAGAGAATGTATTGGTTGCTGCGTTTAGTTATCGGTAATGGTCCGAAAATATCCATAGCTATTCGTTCATTTGTTTCAGTTAGTATGTCGGGAGCTACTGCTAATTCTTTGCCATGTATTCTATTTAATTTTTCTGTTTGACATGTCTCACATTTTTTTATTTTATCCATAACGTCCTGTTCTAATCCCTTCCAATTAGTTTTTTCCTTGATACGTTTTATCATCTTGTTTCTGCCTAAATGTCCCGAGAAGTCTGAGTTGTGTGCTTCATGTAGGATTTGTTCTTTCTGTTTCTCAGTTGGCTCGATAGTCGTGGGGTTCGCGGTAAAAAATATTTCTAGACTGTGTTGAGTAGTCAAGAATTGTAATATGCTAATTAACGTCTGTTGTTCGATCGGTGTAAATGGTTCGATAAGTCGAATTTTTAAGGGTTTTTGATTTTGAACATGGATATTAACAATATTATTAAGGTGGTCTAACCATTCTACTTTGTCTAAGATTCCTAATTCGGTCCGTGTCAAATTATACCAGTCCCTATTGTCTGCATATGGTTTTTCAACGAGTCTATGTTCTTTAGTATTTTTGTTCAAATAGTTCGAATAACCACTAATCAGTCTATCTTTCGCTGATTCTTTAACTTCGTCTGAGGGGTCATTATCACTGTCACAGCTTACGATCTCGCTGTCAGTGGTGTTACATAATCGACTTAATCCGTCAGCTGCGCTGTAATCTGAACCCTTCTTGTATTCGACTTCGTAGTCGTATTCTTCAAGTCTTAAACGCCATCGTAATAATCGAGATGAAGGATCTTTCACACTGAGTAACCATTTTAATGCCTTGTGGTCTGTCTGTATAATAAACCGTCGACCTAACAGATACTGTCGAAGCCTTTTCGTAGCCCAAACTATGGCCAATAATTCCTTTTCCGTAGTTGTATAATTTCTCTCTGCCGAATTTAGCGTACGTGAAATATAATAACATGGATGTCCTTCTTGCGAAAATACAGCACCAAGACCTTCGTTGGATGCGTCAGTTGTTAGTACAAAATTTTTGTTAAAGTCAGGGTATTTCAATACGGGGTGTGTGATTAATTTATGTTTCAAATGTTCGAATGCACTTTGGCACGCGGGTGTCCAATTGAATTCGCTTTCTTTCTTTAAAAGGTCCGTGAGTGGTTTACTAATTCTGGTAAAATTATCTATAAATTTACGATAATATCCGGCGATACCTAAAAATGATCAAACGTCTTTTACCTTGGTCGGGGTACGAAAATTTTTAACCTTTTCTATGCGATCGTAGTTTAGTTTTATTCCATCCGAAGTAACCATATGTCCTAAATATTCGAGTTCCGGTCGCAAAAACTCGCACTTATCCGGCTGTAGTTTCAAATTTGTCTCGCGGAGTCTTTGGAGTACTGCAGCCAGATTTTTATTATGTTCCTCGATAGTCCGTCCGAAAATTATTATATCATCCAAATATATAAAGCAAATTTTACCGTTTAATCCTAACATAGCTCTGTCTATCATGCGCTGGAACGTGGCTGGCGCGTTTTTTATGCCAAACGGCATTCGGTTGTATTGAAAATGTCCATCTGGTGTCGAAAATGCTGTATATTGTTTAGAATCAGGGTGCATAACAATTTGATGAAATCCGGAACTAAGGTCAAGGGCAGTAAAAAATTTAGCTTGTCCAAGATGATCAAGGATATCTTCGATTGAAGGGATCGGATACGCGTCCGGGTCGGTTAATTCATTCAATTTTCGAAAGTCTATCACAACTCGCCACTTTCGCTTGCCTGATACATCAGCTTTCTTAGGTACCACCCAAACAGGTGAATTGTATGGACTATCTGATTCTTCGATAATATTTCTATCTAACAGTTTTTTCATTTGACTATGAATTTCTTGTTTGTGACATTTCGGGGGTTTATACGATTTCGTATTGATAATTCTCTTTTCCTTTAGTATGATCGAATGTTGTGTTAAATCTGTCGAAGGTATCGGTTCGCTTTCCAAAGCAAATACGTCTAAATATCTAAAAATTATTTTTGCCGGTTCGATATTTTGTAGTCTGATCTTTTCACGAAGTTGCGACGACAGCCGCGGATCGGCGTCGCGCATCGCGGGCCCCCACCGCGGCGGCATCCCCACTCCCGAGTAATTAGACTATAAGTAGGACCGATCGATGCGCGGATCGATGAGTTGCCTCGGGCAGTGATGCCAGAACCGTGGGACGTGGGACAAATTTTTACCCTCTCCACGACGTCCCACGACGTCCCAGTGATTCCCCTACCGCAGTTGTTTCATCTAACACAAGCGCGTTGTCCCACGTGTCCGTGTGAGCTCTGCGGGTTTGGCAGAGTTCGGCTGCTTTCGTCATTTCTACGTTATCGGCTCGATGCTCAAACCGCTAAAGCACGTGGCAGCAGCATCGACGAATCGACAAAATAATATAATTTCGTCCATGGCAATATGGTAGAAGTGAGAAACCAGAAGATTCAGTTCGAATCCCGATTCTACGGTTTCAGTTCTGATTCTTAATGCATTAACGTTTTTTTAATACATAAAAACACATTTTTAATACATTAATACTATGAAATACATTAACCTAGGAAGCAGTTAAAAGAAGGAGTTGAACTGCATCTTTCTTTGATATTTTTTTTAATATTTAAGTTTTATATATATACATATGTATGTACGTCCATATGATAAAAGTACGTGATACAGAAGTAATTTCTTCAATTAGATATTACAGTTATTCTAACTATTACAATACGTAAATCCGAAGACATACGAGGAAAATTGGTTAGGTTCAATTGTAAGGATATAAAGAAATTTCAATCTTTAACGGTTTGTTAGTTTTATTTCTTATTCCTTACAACTATTATAATTTTATTCTCTGAATGGTCATTACAATGAAAGATATATTAGATACAACTTGATTCCTCATTTAATTTGTTATATACATATCAGGTTTCTTGCAACTATTGCACCTGGTCCACGCTTATACGATATTGCATATTTTACTTTCCTATAATACAACCAAGGAATCAAAACTATAATATAGTGATTACCATAATACAATAAAAAATGTTAAGCTTGGTATAAACCTTATGTTTTTTTTGTGTACTTAATCTGCACTTACGCTTCGTTGCTTTATAATGACTGATTTTTCTTTTGAATGAAACTTCCACTAGCGTATTGATGAAATTTTTCGATTAAAACAAAATCAAACACGACGTAATTTGAATTATAGTTACTTTATATATTTGCATTAGGTTTTAAATAAATAAGTAAATATAATGCAAATTATGTCGTGTTTGGTCTTATTTTGATCAGAAGAACCTTCCAATTACATTGGTAAAAGTTTCATTTAGCAAAAATGAAAAATAAAAAAGTTATAGTTAAATTAATATTGTCTCACTCAAATGTTTTTTCTCGGGTCCTTTAATTCTCGGACCTCTTTCTCTTTCGCTATTTGTCTTTTTCTACGTTCGCCAGCATTCAAGAACTCGCTCGAGCTGTGTCGTTCTGCCAGCCTCGCACACTTTCAGGAGAATCGGGAAAATCCAGCATAATAACACATTCTATGCTGAAAGAATATACTAAGTTATCTGTCTAAAAAAATTTTAATAAATCTGACAACAGATTTATTTTCGGGCTGCTTTTCTTAAGTAATCAGCATTTTACCATTCTCCTGTACGGATCGGGTGTAGCAGTTTGTAGCAAACTCAACATGTTTTCGATATTATGTCTAATACACAACCGATCGAAAAATATTAAAAATCCAGGATATTTTGTGCCGTTTTTTATATGTCAAGGGCCATCGAAATGAAATAAATGATCAACAATGAATATTATAATAAAGGTGATCGCTGTTCATCTATTTCCTTTCTACGATGTATTTCTTCCACAAGAGACGGTTTCCTAACAATTTACAGTACAGTAAAATCTGGGTACATATAATGCAAGACGTCCGATCAAACTTCGACACCTCGCTCGGATATGCATATGCAATTGTGATGCCCGTTTTCCTTCAATACCTCGATATTGAATTTAGGGATTTAGGGTATCACTTAGTAATATTCAATTAAAGATCGACCATTCGTGGAGAACAGTAACTTTTTATTCATACAGAGCGGTTACAAAGTGAAGACTGGTCGCGCACGGAGTTTCCAGTCCTTTTAAGGGTTTCGGAAGGTGAACTTTGAGCTATGGCAAGATAGGGGAAAAGAAAGGAGAGTTTAGAAGGTGAAAGTTCGGAAGTGAGTAATAGTGGAGTGATTTGGAAAGAGATAAAGTTTTGGATGAGGCACGGAATGAGTAACAGTAAATATTTGGGTGTATAACACCCCCACGCTTAAAATAGAAGATATTGCCTTATTTCAGGCAATGTCTTCGTTTCGTCGCATGTTTGTAGGTCTATTTCTGGTTCGATTAGAATTTGTTAACATTCGCCTAATATCTGTTAAGTCTATTTCGGAGGTTGCATTAACTCGTACCACGGGGACATTTTCGTGTCTTGTTGTTGTTTCTGTCGTTGTATTTATTATTTGACCTCTATTGCCATGCATATGATTATTATATGTGTTATGAATACAAGGTTTTGCTAGCATCGAAATGCACCATTTAATGAAATGTATTACTCGAAGTTTATAGCTCACATAAAGAGTTAATATTGCTAGCAACCCATATGCAAGGTACGTCCCAAATCTTGTAGCTGTCTCTATGTAATTTTCAGTTCGCTTGTGGTTCCCTATTGTTTCCGCTTCCTTAACTAATTCGTCTAATCGTCTACCCAACGTCTGTGATTCTAATTTATCTATTTTTGGTATGTTTAACTCCTTTAAGTTTATATTATGTTGCAATTGTTGAAAGGTTTCATGTATGAAGGTAAAATTATAGTTAGGAAGATCGAATCGGAATTCCGTAACAATTCCATTGGACATATGAATTGGTTCTAATACCACAAAATCTGTGCTGGCTATACAGTTAGGTTCTAAATGAATGATGCTTGGTCTGGTTAATGTTATAAAATTTGAAATCTGTCCGCAAAGTATTTGTACCTGTTCGCTTCTATGAGGAATGATTATCCAATCTGTACCAGTATGCAACGGTAGGTACAAAGAATATTGCATGGTTCCTACAAAAGGTGTGCATATCTTGGTGCTGTTGTCTAAAATTTCTCTTAACCATCTACTTAAACAATTCTTTTCTTTTGTTATCCGGTACTTAGGTTCTAAACGTTTACAATAATATACATTATTTAATTTCTTACAACTATTAAGGAAGAAGAAAGAACTCGGTGACATTTGTGTTCTTTCCATATTTGTGATTATGTAATCTTGTGGAGCCTCTAAGCGAATGATAGTTCCGTCGGTCTGAACACTTGGTATGGAATGTACTTTATACTGCATGTAGGAGTTTGTTTCAAGAATCGGTATTTTGACTACGGACACTAATCTCTTGTTTATGATACCTATTTCAATACTACATATTTGAAGATATTCATAATAATGTTCTGCAACGGTGACTAGAGGTAAACGGTTCGTTCCTTCTTCTGCCCTTATCTTCTGTATTATTTTGAAAAAAGCTTGGGGTTCTATTATGTTAGGAGATATATTTCCTTTTCTACCGTCTAATATTGCCTGATTAGTTACATCTACGTTTCGTTGATAACTAAGAATTTCTAATTCTAACATTAAACTTAATTCGAGAATAGTTTCTTCTAACAACTGAATCTTCTCTATGTTTCTAATGTCATTAATATTTTGGTTCATAACGTCTATTTTTCCTCTGTAATCTTCTATTAATTTATCATTTCTTTCTAATACTACTTTTAATATTTGGGTTTGGTTCCTAAATAATTCTGCATTACGTTTGTTGTCTTTATGAACTAAATCTATCTCGCGATTATAATATTCTGCGTCTTCGTCGCTCATAGTTCCGAAAAGAATCTTACTTATATCACCTATGAAATTGAATACGCCTCGGCGTATCCGTTTTGACCAAGGTAACTCGTAACCTACTGAAGAGAACAACCGCTCACGGTCCTTCTTGGCTTGCAGCAGGCATCTCTCTAGTTGATATGTGGTCCTGTTGTGTTGACCTTCGTGGTCCAATCTTCTTATGGTTTTAATTCCTTCCTCGATGTGGGTCTCTTGCTGAATCAGGTCCTCAAGTGGCAGATAGCTGACCACCCGCCATTGCTCGGTGTACAATCTCAATTGTCCCAAGGGTTCCAGGTAAAGGGTTGGTAGGTTTTCGAACTCCCGAATTCCATATTGCGTCTTGTTACCCTGCGTACTGACCCCTAGGGTCCTGAAATATTTAAATTGGCAAATTTACATCGGTTTTTATGTACTAGCAACGACCTTTGATTTTTTCGAATCAGGATATTTGTATCGGATGGAACGTCTAAAATTAGGTAAGGTCCTTCAAATGGGACGCTCAGTCCACTGCTCTTATTCCTATTTTCGTTGGTGATCCACACGTAGTCGCCTTTCTTGAAGTCATAAGGTCTGCAAGTTCTGTCATATCTCTCCTTGGTCCTTCTTTTAGCCTCTTCTATGTTACCTCTGGCGGTCCCTTGGAGATCCTTTATGCGTTGTGCCAACTCATTTAAAATATCTGTATGTGTTAAGGTTTTCACCCTTCCACTTGATGGCAGATTAGCAAGTCGTCCGTATACTAATTCGTATGGAGAGTATTTAGTTGCTTCGTGTACGTTGGTATTGTAATTGAACACCGCTAGATCTAAGTAATCGTCCCAATTATTCTGTTCATTATTCACATAAATCTTTAAATAGTCCTTTAACACCTCCTCTCGAGTGAACCGTTACTTTCGGGGTGTACTGCGGTTGTGGTAACGTGTTGAATTCCAATAATCCTTTCAAATGTTTTCATAAACTCTGATACAAAATTACGCCCGTTGTCTATTAATATCGTTTTTGGTGCTCCGTATTTACAAATGTAGTGCTTCAAAAAAACGTTAGCACAACTTTCTGCGGTATAATTGCTTAAAGGCCACGCCCAACTGTGTTTTGTCAATAAGCATTGCGCTGTCAATATGTACTTGTGTCCTCTTCGCGTTTCTCTGAGTGGCCCTACAATATCCATTGCAATCTTATCGTTAAATCGTTTCGGTGTATCTGTGAGTTCCAATGGTGTTATGCATGGTTTCCTGTTCGCTTTAACACGTTGACATTCCAAACAGTTCCTAACAAAGTCCTTTATATCCTTGATCATATGTCTCCAATAATAATTATTCAGGATACGCGTGTATGTTTTCTTCTCACCTTTATGTCCTCCAATTGTCGAACAATGATGCTCCTTTAATATCCGTGGAATATCGTCGGATGCTGGGAAAACTATTTCTTCATCATGAAATGTAATGTGAGTATCCGGATTTCGATTAGCATGATCTTTAATAAGTTGTATTCCACGTTGTCGTGATATATTGCAAAACAATAACCACTCATTCAGGTTTAGATGTATTCGATGTCCCGGTGTATTACGTACCTTAGGAAATACTGCTTCTCTATTGGGGGTATACATAACGACCTTTATTACCTTTCCTTCTTGATCCATAATTTTTTCACTATGTTCTGGTCCTTCCTGTAAACACATCGGTGTGCCGTTTTCCGTTCGCTGTTGAGGCATTGGTTCGTCGGAGATCTGTATGTTTCCCTTTAGCTGCTGAACTAATAATACTGGATTTCGTGAAAGTGCATCAGCATTTTGATTGCTTGCACCCTTTTTATATTTTATTTCGTATTCAAATTCTTCCAATGCGATTCGCCATCGCATCAGTCGCGAAGATGGATCCTTATTTTTGTATAACCATTCTAGAGGCTTGTGGTCAGTGATTATTTTAAACTTTTTACCATACAAATAAGATCGATAATGTTTAACAGCCCAGACTATTGCGAGGAGTTCCTTCTCCGTTGTAGAATAGTTTCTTTCGGCAGAATTCAAGCTGCGGCTGGCGTAAGATACGGGTTTATCGTCCTGTGATAAAATTGCACCTATTGCTTCGTTCGAGGCGTCCGTTGTTACAGTGAATTGTTTTTCGAAATTTGGAAACTGCAGTAGAACGGGTTCATTACACAATGCTTGTTTTAAGTTTTGAAAGGATTCACGTTGACTTGGCCCGAATTCAAACGGCGTATTCTTGACTAGAAGTGAATTAAGTGGTCGCGCAATTAGAGAAAATCCCTTTATAAATTTACGATAATATCCAGCTAGTCCCAGAAATTGTTTTATTTGTTTGGGCGTCTTTGGTTCTGGGAAATCCTGAACGGCCTTAATCTTTTCCGGATTGGGTTTAACCCCGTGTTCAGTGATAACGTGTCCTAAGTATTGCAGCTCCGGTTTTAGATACTCACATTTATCCGGTTCCAATTTTAATTTATACTGTCGAAGTCTATCGAGAATCTCTATTAGATTTTGATTATGTTCCTCCAGGGTTTGACCAAAAACTATAATGTCGTCTACGAAAACGAAACATATCCGTCCTATCAATCCCTGCAACGCCCTGTTCATTACCCTTTGGAACGTAGCAGGCGCGTTCTTGAGTCCAAAAGGCATGCGCAAGAATTCATAATGACCTTTATCTGTTGAAAATGCCGTTTTCTCTCGTGATGATTCCTCTAAGGGGATTTGATGGAATCCGGAGGCTAAATCAAATGCCGAAAAATACCTTGCCTTTCCCAATCGGTCTAGTATTTCCTCAATGTTAGGAAGTGGGTATGCATCCTGTTTCGTCAACTCGTTTATCTTCCTGAAGTCGATAACAATCCTCCATTTCTTTTTTCCTGAGGCGTCTTCCTTTTTAGGTACTACCCATAATGGGGAGTTGTAAGGCGAACTCGATGATTGTATGACGCCCTTTTCCAGCATTTCCCCGATTTGGCGTGTTATCTCCTCCTGGTGTATTGGTGGATGTCTGTATTGTTTCTGGTTTATGATTTTATTTTCCGTCAGCTCAATTTTATGTGAAGCTAGGTTAGTTTCCGGTTGAGGATCTCCAAGTAAATAATAACAGTCATTGTATCTCGAGATGATCGACCATAGAGATTGACGATCGCTTTCTGATAAAATATGCTGTAGTCGTGTTCTATCTTTTAATAATCTTACGCGGTTATAATCGTGGTTAAAATTAAGCAGTTTGTCGTTGGTTGCCTTACCTCTAAAGATTATTGTTCTCCGTCTTACGTCTACTAAAGCATTTTCATCGCAGAGAAATGGTTGTCCTATAATACCGTCCTGTTCTATCGGAAAATCATTTTCCACTACGGCGAATACATGGGTCTGTGTGCCGCAATCTATTTCACAGTCTTCGGTGGTTGTTAAAGTTGAACGGTTTATTCCTGTGAGGTTTCTGGTGTTGTGGATAATTCTATGTCCTGTAGTGCATCGTCTTTTGATGACATTGACTCCGGCTCCGGTATCTGCCAAAAATCTGACGGGTTTGTTGTATATACGAATGATGAGCTCGGCTGCTGCTGCTCCGTTGATCCGATATATTTGATGTGATGGTTGTTTCCCGGCGGTCGCGTCGTATTCGGTACCCCGTGAAAATTTGGGCAATCACGTGCAAAGTGATTTACTCCATTGCATCGATAACACTTTACAGGTTGTGGTGCTGGCATTATAGGTAGGCTGGGTTTAGTTGCAGTCCCATAAATGGGTCCGTTACCTGTTTTTGGTACCTGATTCCTGGCAGGTGCGAAGGACACGGGTCTGGGTTGTATAAACCTTGTTTGCATAGGCCTCGACTGCGCAGGTTTAAACATTGGAATACGATTCATTCCGAAAGCTTGTTGTCTAGCGAGTTGTGCAGCGTATGCGGTTCTTTCTTCATTTAGTGCGAGATCCTGAGCTTCTTTAAGAGTTGCTGGACGATTTGCCGTAACCATTATTCTGAGTGATTCTTTTAATCCACGTAAATACAAATTTAACACCGTTTGTCTCTCATTTATGAGTGTATAACGTTTGTGTTCCGATGTTAAGTTAGCGGTATTAGTGATTGCACGTTCGACGGCAATTTGGCAGGTCATAAATCGTTTATTATATTCCAATATGTTTTCATTGGGTTTCTGAAGACAAAAGTTCCTCTCAGTCTGTACAACATCTAGCGTTTTGAAGTCACCGAATTGCATGCGCAATACCTGCACTAATTCTTCTATATGTGTGGTAATGTACCCTTCAAGCAATCGTTTTTCGTTTGCACGAATTTTGTGTGCCCTAACTAACCTCGCGAACCGTGAATGATATTGCCTAGGTATACGATTAATGCTTTCTTCTATTTGCGATATGAAGGACTCTACTGTAATGGACCAATTATCGAATTCCGGCAAGGTCTTAACTTCATTCCATAAAAATTTTGAAATCTTCTCTTCTTCGTCAAAATTAATATTGGGTGGGTCTAATCTTACTGTCGACGGTGGTACATCTTCATTTTCCAGCTCTATTCTATTAATTTCATGATGATCCTCGGTCATCATCGAATTACTTCCCGCGGAATCTTTACTAGTTTCTAAAGAAGTTATTTTTGTGGCAAGCGTTGGGACAATTTCCTTCAGTTCTTGCATATCTTTCATCATTTTATCGGAATCCATTGTTATCACGTTAATGTGTTCCTCACTCGAGCTTACGGATTGAGTTGAACTAGAGCTACTATTATCGTCAAAGAATTCTCGCGGACTACGATAATTTGTAAATGCCATCAACTTACAGTAAAACAATTGCTGTTACGATCTTCATGTAATTTTCTTTCTTCGTTCTTCTTCTTAACACAGAACTTCGTAGTCTTAATGTTCAATGCACTTAACACTAATAATAACTGAGAATTAACTTTTTCTGTTGTTTTCCACGAAGGCGATCCCACTTCTGACACCAAAAATTTGTATGTGATGCCCGTTTTCCTTCAATACCTCGATATTGAATTTAGGGATTTAGGGTATCACTTAATAATATTCAATTAAAGATCGACCATTCGTGGAGAACAGTAACTTTTTATTCATACAGAGCGGTTACAAAGTGAAGACTGGTCGCGCACGGAGTTTCCAGTCCTTTTAAGGGTTTCGGAAGGTGAACTTTGAGCTATGGCAAGATAGGGGAAAAGAAAGGAGAGTTTAGAAGGTGAAAGTTCGGAAGTGAGTAATAGTGGAGTGATTTGGAAAGAGATAAAGTTTTGGATGAGGCACGGAATGAGTAACAGTAAATATTTGGGTGTATAACACAATGTTTTGATTCGATCTCTCTGACTTTTCGTCTACTTTTAACATCAATTTTAGCAAGTAATTACAATTCAAACTATATCGTGTTTGGTATCATTTTAATCAGAAAAATCTGGCCAATGCGCTAGTAAAAATTTCATTTAAAAAAAGTCAAAGATAAAAATGTTTTATAACTGAATTAGTATTAGTCACACCGATATGTTTCGGCTCTTTTCTTTGATCATTGGACCTCTCTCTCTCCTCCATTGCCTGTCCCTTTCTGCGTTCACGCTTGGCTGGCGTCGCGCGTAACCCGAGATTCGACACCTCGCTTGGATCCCAATCTCTCTTGCATATGCATATCCAGATTTTACTGTACTGTAAATTGTTAGGAAACTGTCTCTTGTGGAAGAAATACAGGATTGCCTCGAAATAAGCAAGTGGTCTCTGCTTCGAAATAAGCAACTGTTAGGTCTCGAGCCACTTGCTTATTTCGAGGCAATCCTATACTACATCGTAGAAAAGAAATAGATGAACAGCGATCACCTTTATTATATTATTCATTGTTGGTCATTTATTTCATTTCGATGGCCCTTGACATATAAAAAGCGGCACAAAATATCCTGGATTTTTAATATTTGTCGATCGGTTGTGTATTCTACATAATATCGAAAATATGTTGAGTTTGCTACAAACTGCTACACACGATCTGTACAGGAGACTGATAAAATGCTGATTACTTAAGAAAAGCAGCCCGAAAATAAATCTGTTGTCAGATTTATTAAAATTTTTTTAGACAGATAACTTAGTATATTCTTTCAGCATAAAATGTGTTATTATGCTGGATTTTCCCGATTCTCCTAAAAGTGTGCGAGGCTGGCAGAACGACACAGCTCGAGCGAGTTCTTGAATGCTGGCGAACGTAGAAAAAGACAAATAGCGAAAGAGAAAGAGGTCCGAGAATTAAAGGGCCCGAGAAAAAACATTTGAGTGAGACAATATTAATTTAACCATAACTTTTTTATTTTTCATTTTTGCTAAATGAAACCTTTACCAATGTAATTGTAAGGTTCTTCTGATTAAAATGAGACCAAACACGATATAATTTGCATTATATTTACTTATTTATTTAAAACCTAATGCAAATATATAAAGTAACTATAATTCAAATTATGTCGTGTTTGATCTTGTTTTAATCGAAAAATTTCATCAATACGCTAGTGGAACTTTCATTCAAAAGAAAAATCAGTCGTTATAAAGCAACGAAGCGTAAGTGCAGATTAAGTACACAAAAAAAACATAAGGTTTATGCCAAGCTTAACATTTTCTATTGTATTATGGTAATCACTATATTATAGTTTTGTTTCCTTGTTGTATTATAGGAAAGTAAAATGTGCAATATCGTATAAGCGTGGACCAGGTGCAATAGTTGCAAGAAACCTGACATGTATATAACAAATTAAATGAGGAATCAAATTGTATCTAATCCATCTTTCATTGTAATGACCATTCAGAGAATAAAATTGTAATAGTTGTAAGGAATAAGAAATAAAACTGACAAACCCTTAAAGATTGAAATTTCTTTATATCCTTACAATTTAACCTAACCAATTTTCCTCGTATGTCTTCGAATTTACGTATTGTAATAGTTAGAATAACTGTAATATCTAATTGAAGAAATTAATTAAATATTAATTAAAAAAATATCAAAGAAAGATGCAGTTCAACTCCTTTTTTTAACTGCTTCCCAAGTTAATGTATTTCATAGTATTAATGTATTAAACATGTATTTTTATGTATTTAAAAAACGTTAATGCATTAAGAATCAGAACTGAAACCGTAAAATCGGGATTCGAACTGATTCTCCTGGTTTCTTAATTCAGCCATATTGCCATGGACGAAATTATATTATTTTGTCGATTCGTCGATGCTACTGCCACGTGCTTTAGCGGCTTGAGCATCGAGCCGATATCGTAGAAATGACGAGAGCAGCCGAACTCTGCCAAACCCGCAGAGCTCACACGGACACGTGGGACAACGCGCTTGTTTAGATGAAACAACTGCGGTAGGGGAGTCACTGGGCCGTCGTGGGACGTCGTGGAGAGGGTAAAGATTTGTCCCACGTCCCACGGTTCTGGCATCACTGATTGGTCGTCGACTCGTTCGCTGTTCGGTTCTACCTCGGCGTACGAGAAGGCGAGCCGCGTGAGGCAAGCGGGCAGCAACTCCACCGCAGCGCGATTGAATAAATACCGTCGGCCCAACCGGGCCAATCCCATCCCGACTCGACCTCTCTTGCGTTTGCGTACGTTTGCGTTTGTTTGCGTTCGCGCTCCGTTCAGCGCTTTCACTCCGCGCTCCGACATCGCGCCGTTAGCTTGTAAGACCGCGTAGCGATGGCTACGACCTGCGCTAGAATTAAGGCCGCGTACTTTCTGTGACGGACCGGGTTCCGACCGTAGTTCATAAGTCCTGTACATTAGGCTTAAGATTGGCTCCACGCGTCTAACCACCAGACGACATTTTGATTGTAGCTCCCGAGGCAGGAGAGCACCGCCCGACCAACCGGCGAGGGTAGCCGCCGCTAGGAACCCCACTTCTTTCTGAATAAATACTTTATTTTTCTACTAACACCGACTCGTTATTTACCGACCTGTTCCCATGCGAACCCTGGCACGGGGAAAACCGCTGCGGTGCGCAACGCCGTGCGCACCGAACCGACCGACCCCGTTACAAAGTTTTAGAAATCTATCGGAAATATCTGTGTCAACGTCCGTTACTTCAATGTTGTTCAATCGTATCGTCTCGTCTTTGGTATTAATAAAGTTTATTTTACGTTCGTTATCATAAAATATACTTTTAGGCGGTATTTCAATTTCGTCAAAGAGTGGCAATCTATATTCGTTTAAACAAAGGGAGTGATTATCAATTGTAAAATCGTATTTCTCGAGATATGGCAATCCTAAAGTTCCATCTTCCTTTAAAGGGAAACTTTCTGGTATTATATAAAATTCGTGATATTTGCCTAATGAGTAAAGCGTTACCTTTTGTTTTGAAGTATGTCTGTCGTTGCCCATGTAAAAAGATTTGTTCGTGTCAATCCGTTTCGTCTTATCGCAAATAAAATTTTCTTTCACCAGATTTATTCCTGCGCCCGTGTCCAGGAGTAGCTGTCCGTGTTCGCGCATTCCTCCAAGTTGTGCTCGCATGTGTCGGAGTCGTCCTGACACTGTGGAAATTCTTGTTCGCTCGTTTTCTTCGCTTCCTGATTCGATACTTCTGTTGCATTCGTTCGAGGTGGTAATTTTCCTTGACTGGTTGAGTAAAAATTTCGTTTCATGAAACATTTGTCAGTCGTATGACCCAGTTTCTGACAATTGTCACATTTTGGCAACGATTTTGAAGTTTGTGGATTTTGATTTTGTCGCGTAATACTCTGTCTTGGTGGTGCATTGTTCGTGGCAATTGGATATTGTTTGTTTTCAGCGATATACGGCTTTGATCGTGACCGGTCGAAACTGGTTTCTTTTAACCAAACTTCCGTTTCCATGGCGAGTGTTTGCGCTTCCATAAACGTTTTCGGATCTCGGGAAAATACCATTTTACCAATTTCACCTCTCAAATGTTGCACATATAATGGAACGACCATTTCCTCCTCAATTTTAAGTGCGACCTCTCGCTGTGTCGGATTAGTGTGAGTGTTTTGTATAGCGTAATATAATTCGTTCATTTGTGCGCGGAATCGTGTGTTATAGGATTGAACGGATTCGGTAATACCTTGGCGCATATTTTGAAGTTTTTGTCTACAGCTAGATATTGTGACTGGTGGAGCAACATGGGTACGAAGAGCACTGAATAACTCGTCGTACGTATTAATAGCTAGATGTCTGATGTTTCTTTCTGCTTGGTCTTCAATTTTAGTAGATAGTATCAAATCTAACAGGATTTAATGAAGTCTTCCACCCCAATGTCATCTCTTCCTCTCAATGATTTTAGAATTTTAATCAAATCCTTTGGTGCATAAAGCGGCGCACTATGATCTTGGGCGGAACGGTGCTCGAGTTCCGTCGGCAAACGTCGAGGTTCTTGTGATTCTCGTCGCGAGACAGATGGTCGAGACGGCGCGGTAGCTGATGACTCGCATGTTACTTGAATTTCATCGTCCGACGGAACCCCGGTCGTATCATCATCGGTTATCATTTTCCCTACTATTTGAGATAAATTATGGATTTCTTCCCTCTGTTTTATTGTACTTTTTTTCAGCGCTGACAGTCTTTCCGTGAGGGTTTGAAAATTTTTGTCAGACATTTCAGTGGATTTTGTTTGTGCTACTGTCACTTGGTCGATTTTACGAGCAAGCGTCTCGATTTGTTGCATTATTATATCAAAATGTCCGTCCATCTCATCGTCAGGTGAGAATGGGATGTTGGGTGTAGGTTCACGATATTACAAAAATAAAAATGATTGCTCGCCTCACTGTTTCAGGAAAGCCCGCTTTGAGGTATTTTCCTGGGTTTCCAATTAAGTAACCCTTTTCTACAGTGGCGGCATTAATAAACTCTTCTCTTCGTTGAATCTTGGGCTTTAAAATCGGCTCCTGCTTTGAAGATCCACTCCGATTTCTCACAGTCCTTAGACTCGTTATCCTGGCAGGATCGCCAAATGTGACGGCGAGAAGGAAGGTATTAAAGAAAATCACACCCGACGGAATCTGTATGATAACTGAACTTTATTTCTTGATGCGTCTTCCTGTCGCACGGTGGTTTTTTTATGCCGACGAGGCATTCGTGGAACTTAAGTAAGGAGATACAGGATGAGCTACCGCGAGTGTCAGAGGGTATCGTGCTGATTCTAATAAGGCCCCCCCCCCCCCCTCCACCTCACATGACGATAATACTGGAAGAGTTTGTAAATTGGAAAAGGCGTTGTACGGGCTACGCGAAAGTCCACGGGCAACATGGTACGAGTGTTTAGATGCGTATTTGAGAGGATTAGGATTTAAACGAAGCAAAATAG